AAATAATTAGTATAAAATTATTTTATTCTTTTATACATATATTTAGATTATATATATATTTTTAATATTTGATTTGTAAAATATAATTTACATTTTGGAATAATGTGTAAATAGTAAGAAAAATAAATATATTTTATTTAATTTAATAATTGTTTTTTTTAAAAATTTTTATTTGCTTCAAACTTGAATTTTGGACCGATACTGGTCTGAATATATTTTCGATGTTACGACAATATGGGTAACAGACATTTCAAAATTTACATCTGCGTACAATATATATGAATCGGTAACGATCTGAATATATTTTCAATGTCACGTCAACATGGGTGGCAGACATTTCAGAATTTACATCTGAATCCAATATATACATACCGCTAATGGTCTAAATATATTTTACAGAAACCTACACATTAGCAGCATAATTTTTAAAAGTTTCCATTGAGTCCTCTATATTCAGACCGAAACTGGTCTCAATATACTTTTCTAGGTCGCCATTTAGGCGTCCAGTTTTTCATTCTTACAAAAAAGGACATAGATATTTAGGCCAAAGTCAGTCTGAATTTATTTTCTGTAACCACTTTCGCTAAATATTCAGACTGTTTACGGTCTGTAATTATGAAATTATTTTATTATATTCAAAATATCCAGACCGTTTATGGTTCGTAAATTTCAATTTTATAATCACGACCTGAATTTTTTAATCAAAATATACAGTTTGGTTTCGGTCTGAATAGTTTAATATACGAACCAATTTTTTTGGGCTGTATATTTTCTTATTTCATACCATGTTTTTTGGTTCAATTATACGGACCTTGGTCCATATATAGTTGTTCGGACTGATTTTGAGGTTATTCAGACCAAATTGTTGTTCCGAATATTCATTCCCTACAGTAGGGCTAGGGCATATATTTATACATATACATTTACAAAGCTGATGAGTAGGGATTCAATTACTTTTATATATTATATTTATATAAAATTTTAATTATTAATTTGTTATTTTTAATAATTAATATTTATTTATTAAAAATAAATTTTTTATTAAAAAATTTTTTAAAATTTTCATTTATTAAAAATAAAAAAATAAATTTTTAAGACTTTTTGTTTAAAAGTAAAAAAAAGTAATATTTTACAAAAATATAATATAATAAATTTATGTGTAAATAAATAATTACGTATCTAAAAAAATTAATTATCTAGGAATTAAAAAACATACCTCTAGGCACCTGGACTTATGGTCCAACGGCCATAGGTCGACTTGTAAGGTGCATCCCTCAACCCGAGGGCTGGGTTCCAATCCCCCCTCCCCCATATTTGTAACCTGTTCAAAAAAAAAAAAAAAAAACATACCTCTAGTTTCAACTTTTCTACTTTCACCTTTTCCTTTTTTAACGTGGGAAGCTAGAAGTGGGTGGAGATATCCGCTGGAATAAGGTACAGGAGAGATGGAAACAGTTATATTCTAACTGGAATTAGAGAAGAAGACATGTTGATCTTCCAGGAATATTGACGAACAGCGTTTACCTTTGTCTAAAGGACTGAAGTTGTGTGTTGAAAAGGAATGGATGGAGATCTGTGAATTTTTGGAGAAAGGGATAGAATTGAAGATGGATTCTCACCAATTTCTTAGGCATAACTGGGATGCTTGACCTTTTGCAATTGGAGGTCCCACTCACAGAGAAAGTAGAGGCCAAACGAAAAGTATCTTTTGTCCAATTCCTACCCTCAAAGTTGGGTGATGAAGGTGGATTCATTTCAAATAAAAAATAAAAATAAATTTATTTATAAAATTTTTAATTTAAGTAAATTATTTTAAATTTAATATATGATATTATTTGATGTTAATAATTTATTAATAATAAATTTATTATTGATATAATAAATTAATAAATTATTAATATTATATAACATCATATATTAAATTTAAAATGATTTGTTTAAATTAAAAATTTTATAAGTAAATTTATTTCTTGTTTTCTTTAGAGATAAATCTATTGTTGCCACAATATTTTGAGAGTAAATTTAGGTATTTTATGCATATGAAAAGCATCTTTTACTTTTTGGAAGAGAGAGTCAAGATAGAAAGGTTAAAACCTATTTTGCTTCTTGTAGATTAATAAAAAGTCTTTTCTATTCTCAATGTAAAATAGATTTTTTTTAAATCCTTAAAATTTATTTTTTTATCATTTTAGCCTTTAAAATTTATTTTTCTAACTCAATGATGGAATATCCACATCATTAGTTTGAATGGAAAAGGAGGAAAGTTCTATCAAGTAATGCTTTAAGTTTGAGAAAAGAAAGACTAAAAATTGTTGAAAAAATAAACTTTAAGACTAAAGTGGATATGTTTCCAGTTAAGCACTAAAAAGGATTCTAT